TTCCTAGACACGACTGCAGCCAGGGCTCTGGGCACAGACTGGGTCAGTTACTTAGGTGTGTTCACGTGCGATTTGGAAGTGAGGTGGGTGCCGTCTTCCTGCTGTTAAGTGGGCTTTTCTGAAGGTAAGCAGGGTGCTGGAAAGGCACGGGTGTTCTGCTGTCGCTGTTGCTTGATTGCCTGTCCCTGCAGTGGATGATGGCATTAGGCTAGGTGAGACCCTGTCACATAGCCAGCTTATGATAGGGTGGCCTTTCCGATGCCACTGAAAAACCTGAAGTCACTGGTTATAATCTTACACATTCGTCTCAACAACAAAGTTCGCTCAGCATTGAAATCTAACACACTTGAAGTTCGGTGGCTGAGACCCTTAATTCCCTAGAAAGTGCTTGGATGGTCATAGCCAATACTTGCTTCTCTCACTCAGATTTTTTTTTTTTTTTTTGGTGGGGGTAGGGGATATAGCTGATGCATTTCCTCTGACCAACATGTAGCATTGCTGGCAAGGAGGACATTTGTAATGCTTTCATTTGACTGTGAATTTTGAAATTTATGGTTCAATTCTTAAAAGGCAATCTGTTTTTCTCATTTGGAAGAGATTAGAATTTTTTTAATGTTCAAATTTGCTCTAAGTTTTTTTAAAAAGGTCCTTTTCAGTCCTGACATCATTTTTATCTAGATACCAACACATAATAAACTGTGGCTACTTGTGAAAGATTTGGGGTTTTGTTTTTCCTTTTTGGGTTTTTTTTAAATTAAAAATTCAAAACGTTTTTGTTATGTAAGAACTAAAGTAAGACATTGCTATTTTTCAAAAATAAATATTCAGCTAAACTGAGTGTCAGGTGGTGACCCTTCTTGCTTTCCTGCTCATTGAAGCAATTCTCTCTCAGATCTTCCCTTTTCTTCTTAAATCTCTAATATTGACAGCTTGTTTCCTTTCCCTCAACAACAAAAAGAACCTGGTAATTGGTATCATATTTCACTAAAAAAAAAAAATGAAACTGTCTGATGGGAACTTAACCATCTTCCACTAGGAGATGTGTTGGTACCGTATCTTGTGAAGAAGGGGCTTCCTCTTAGGAAAGGCCAGTCCCCCCCCCCTCCACGGATTCCTGCCCCAACCCTTCTCATTGCCTCACTGGCTTCGATTCATCGTTACATTCGTTTGTGAGGGCTGCCATAATAAATACCACAGACCGGGGGTCTTAAACAGAAGAGATTTACTTTCTCACAGTTCTGGAGGCTAGACGTCTGAGAGGGTGTCAGCAGGACTGACTTCATCCTGAGCCTCTCTGCTTGGCCTGTGGATGACCGTCTTCTCCCCTGCCTTCAAGTGGTCTTGCCTCGTCTGCACCCTAATCTACTCTTCTTCTGAGACCATCAGTCATGTTAGGTTAGGGTCCATCCTAAAGACCTCATTAGAGCTCAGTTACCCCTTTAAAGACCTTATCTCCAAATATGGTTACGTTCAGAGGTTCTGGAGGCTCGGAGCTCAGTCTGTGAATTTGGAGCATAACAGTTAGTTATGGTCTTTTCGTTCAGCTCTATCAATTTTTTTTCTTTTTCTCTCAAAACTAGATCATTTCCCAAAGCATAAAACATGCTGTAAAGACTCCTATTCTAAAAAATCATCCTTTGACCCCTATACGCTACTGCAACTACTGCTGCAGTCCTGCGCTCCCACCAAAGCCACATCACTACCGTCACCCACACATGCCGTCCCCATTTTCGTACCACATGTCCACACCTCAGTCCTTTCCAGTATGGCTTCTGCCCATTCAATTTTATTAAAATTAAATATAGCTGATAACTCCTTCCTTCTCGGTACAGTTACCCACTCTGACACTCCTAACATCTGCAAAAGACATTCTGGTTGTACAGTATCCACACCATTCCTCTCCCATTAAGTAGCAGGTGTGAAATTTGAGTAGGATGAGCCAACCCAGGATTAGGGGTGGGTATTTATTGGTCTCCTTGCTCTTGCCATGGTAATTGGTTCAATACTGGTTATGGATCTAAGGTCTGTGCCTATCAGATCATAACATCCACATGGTTCAGTTGATGGTTTTTATTTTTCAATGATCCCTGTAAGTGGTCTTCACCATCCCTTGCCGGTGAATGGAGAAGCCTGTAGCCTGTGTTCTGCTGAGCTCAATTTTGTCGTAAAAGTGACACAATCCTGTGGAAACACTACCACATGCAAGAAGGCAATGATGAGAGAATTTCTGAGAAACCGAACCAGAGTCCTGATAGAACCATGCCTAAAGTTGTCTCTGTTTCCTGACTTTTCACCCAAGAGAGCCAATACATTCTTCATTGTTTGTTAGCTTGAGCTAGGTTTTCCCTTGTAACCGAATCAACTGAATCAACACCATCCTTGGCTGCTCTTCTCATCCATTCCTTTCTTCATCTCTCGTTTTCAGTCACAGTCTCCATCTCTTCAACTTGGCCATGAAACATCTTAATGTTAGCTCTCAAGCACATGGTTCTGGGCCCCGTTTCCTTCCTTATAAACTCCTGAAGCAGAGGATGGGTTGAGAAGGGGATCTTGTGTGGAGCGGCTCCAGGGGCAGTCTGGTGGGATGATGGGGATGGGAGGAAGGGCTGCAGGGGTCTCCTCTCAGGGAAGGGCTGTCTCTCAGGAATCTATATAATCTTTGCTTGTCTGTGTTGAGGCAATGAAAACTGGAAAGAATGTTAAAGAACAAGTGATTGAGTATAGTTAATTATTTAAAAGAATTTCTTTACTATCAACACATTGTTTATTGTATTGAATGAAAAGCAATTTCTATTCAAGTTTTGAATTCCAAATCTGGAGTTGAATAACCAAGCATTTTAGATTTTTGCCTATGCTTAATCTGTTTTCATGTGCATTTATGAGAGGTCATAGAATTGCTTAATTTACTTACTGATTAGCAATTCTGAACAGAATTCTAAAATTCTAATACCAAACACTTATCAGATTAAAATTTGAAAAGTTATTTGAACGTTGATTTTCTTTTCCTTGATAAGAAGGCAAATTTAATATGTAGAAATACTATTTTAGGCTTTGTTCAAGGAGGTATCAAGGGAAGAGAACATTTCAGAATATTTCCATGGTAGCACTTGGTACGTTTTCAGTTGAAACTAAGAGAAAACCCAACAAAATTGGTGAACAATAAAGGGGATTTATTAGCTCTCTTAACTGAAAAGTGTAGTAGTTCTGACTATAGATGAAACTTATCAATTCTTGCTTCATTAGTTTGATGGCAGTAAAATACACTGAGTCAAAAATATGCCAAATTGTTCATTGTAAAATATGAACCATATTAAAATTATTCTGAGGAAGGCTCCCAAAACTCTGGAACCATGGTGGCATTTGTTTCATCAGCTCTCTTTAAGTCAACACCGTCCACTGTGTCCACTAGGTTTCTTGCAAGTTCTTGAGGAGACGTAATCTACAGCCAAATGCATCTTGGGATTGTGGAGCAGTTAGCCACATGGACTTTGGAGCATAAAGCTTGGGATGGAATCCTGGCTCAGTCAGAGACACATTGTTCATAGTCTCTAAGCTTCCTTTACCTCATACACAAATGTGGCACAACAGAACTGATACTGTGGAGATTACATGAGTATTACATGAAATAACATACCGCAGTATGTAGACCATAGTTGATGGAGCCAGGGATTCATGCCCAAGAAAAAAGTGGCGACTGAAAAAAAAAAAAAGGATCGCTATAAGAAAGGCCAGTCTTCTTTAGTTTCCAAGAGATGAGGAGCCCGGGGTGACTCTTCAGGTTTTTGGCATAAGCAGTGAAAAAGAATGGCATTGCTACTTAGTAAGATGAGAAAAACTGTATAACGGGTAGGTTTGAGGAAGGGTGGGATTCAGGGGTTCAGATTTGGATATGTTCAGTTTGAGAGGCCAGTTAGATATCCAAGTGGGAATGTTGAGTAAGCAGCGAGATATCATGACTGGAGTTTCAGGGAAAGACCAGGCAGGTGATAAAAATGTGAGTCATGAGTATATAGATGGCGTTTAAAGCTATAAGATTTAATGAGCTCACCAATGTGTAGAAAATCTGAAGCCTGAGTCTGTGGCTCTCCAGTGTTGAGAGTTTG